TAATCATACATCTTTAACAAAACAAACATGACTTAGCTATTTAATCATTTCCTTGTATGTGAATGCCTCCATCCATCGAATATTCATGATGGTCATGATTATTATTCAACATATTTGATATCATCATTGACATAATAAACAATTGCATCACCCAGGTAGTAATGATACCAAGGCCATGCATAAATGAAATTTTTAATAATGTGTATCTACCCAGATCTCTGGGGTTCACAAAAACAAATTACTTTTCCTTATAAATAATAAATCTGATGTTGATCATAGGTGTCAGATTTAATTAAAAATTTTCCTATCACAAACATGTGGTTGGGTGCTTTCACACACCTCCATAACTGTGGGATTTTTCCCACAGGTGAAGGCCCCCATATGTCAGAAGGTTTTCAAGGTGGGCAAAACTTTTCTTATCTTCCCCTCAGACCAGGCTTGGCTGTTTCCATATGAGCATTGATCATTGATGAGGATCGACATTTGTGTTATATACCTCTCTAGAATAAAGTTGGTATCTGCAATTGGTATGAAATTCCGCAACTCAGGAGGTTGCAACCTAGGTTGCTGTCTTGGATTTTCTCTGAATTCTGAGTTTTGAGTCCTGGGTTGCTGTCTTATTGGTGGCATGCTTACTCACCAACAACCCTATCCCATTCAAAAAACAAATTCAGTTGGTAAAATAAATCAAAGAGAAGCAGAGAATTTGGGAAAATGATTAATTTATAACATACCAAACAAAATCCAAACCATTTTATTTTACAGCTTTCTCCTTGATTCCAGTGATCATGGTGACTAACACAATACATAAAAGTGGGCAGAATCAAACTGCCACCTTTATACTTGTAAGATACGTGCTCTCATTGAGCTACAATCCTTTAACCTAGGGTGGGAGGTTATATGGGAAAAAGTTCCCATTTAAAAAAACAACAAATTCAGTTGACAAATAAGAGAAACAGAAAATGATTAATTTATACAAAACATACCAAAATCCGAACCATTTTTATGGCTGTTTTCTTGTTGGCCACATTGCTGACAAAAGATGTATATAATCCTGCAATAATTTAACCTATAGGACAGAAGACTGATTGGGCAAAAACCCATCCAGTCTCCTATCCAAAATTATAAATTGGTTAGTATCTGAGAAACAGAGCACTTAGGAAAATGATTATACAAAACAAACACTATTTTACAACTTTCCTCTTAACAGGGCCACCAACCCTGCTCTGAATTGTGCTTGAACAAGCTGCAGATTCTCTTAATATTCCTCCAGAGTTGTGACTTGGTCACAATGCCATCCTTCCCTAGAGGTAGGATCATTCCAGGCAACTTTTTGACCAGCATGCCAGCAGCCATCTCTGGTCTGGGGAGATTAGTGAAAGTGTCATTGATGATTGATGCAGTCTTGGTAAACTCCAGGGCATTGCTCCCCGCCCCCCTGGAATTCTGTAACATCATTGTATCATTGGGGGATCAAGTCAGATTAGCCTTGTGCACATGAGGAAGACAAGAGAATGACTGTAAGTGTTCAAGGTAGCATGCATGCGTGCTTCAACACTTGCCAATTTCTGATAATCAAACATTGCATATTCAAAATGTTTCTTCTGTAACAGTCAGTCATGCTGCCTTGACATCTTGTAATTATATATTAATATTATTATTATTAACAATTATGAAAAGCAAAATATTATCAATGAAAATCTTGTAATTACCCAGCAAGATCTGTTCTGCATTTTGATTCCAATTAAAATATTTATATAAAATAAGAGACACCACATTATATCAATACAAATTAAAATAGTACCTCTGGTTAGTTATTAACATGTTTCTTTGGGATATCCAAACCAAACCAAACCAAACAACACTAAAAAAAATCAATTCGCATCTGTCCTACCAAAAAAACCAATAGGATAAATAATTAATGTGTACATGTCGATCAAATAATAATATTAATAATATCTTTTTTTTTGAAAAATGTTTAATCAAACTAAAAGAAGAAAAAACCACTTCAAGGCTATTGCCGAAGAAAAAGGGCAAGTGTTTTAAGGATGGTGGTGGTTATCGCCCACCACTCATCATCACTCTAGTTTTATATAAAATAATACAAATCAAATAAATTTTTTCTTAGCGAAGAACCAAAACGAGAAATATTATCAGAAAAAAATAATATTAATTGTGATACTACTCAATATTCTCATGCAAATGAAAAAGTAATTGAAGACTAAAATTACCACCAACTTATTATCATAAGTGAGAAAATAAAGCTGACATTGAAGAAAATATTTCAAGTAAAAAGGTAAAGAAAAATTTATAGGTGATAAAGTTGAGGGAAAATAAAATTCTCATGTGTATTTTCTATTCAGACAAAATGTGAGACGAATGATCCTAATGCAGAAAATCTACAACTAAGAAACAATAGTGAAAATTTTTCCTTCGAGTTTTTTCCCCCTACTGATAGTATTAATAAAGAGCTTGAAGACAACGACGAAGAAATTGAATTTGATCTAAAAAACATTTCAATAGAGTTGAAGTGTGAACCAAAAGCTAAGGTATATATACATCTCAAATATTGATTTCTTTATTTCTTGTATATCTCAATTTTACTTCTGTTTTTTAGTGGGAAGTTGGTTGTAGGGTTTGTATTCATGAATATCATAAGGGGGTCACACAGGGTCACACACTATTAAAATCAAGTGACCAACTCATGTTTTTAAGGGATTTTTTGCTGTTTTAATAGTGTGTAACCCCCTTAATGATATTCATGATATTCATGAATAAAAACCCTAGTTGGTTGTACTTGTATAACAGATAGATTTCGCCAGTATCAAAAAGATATTCTCAAGAATGCACAGAGAGAAGGTTTAAAATATGTTAATATTTATGAACTTCTGTAAGTATTTTGAACATATAACATTTGACTAGAACAATGACCATACTGAGATATATCAAAACATCTTTTTTCCTTATTGTATTCAGGGCTTTATCATCCATTATAGTGCTCTGTTCACTAATCAAGAATGGAAAGAGATAATGGAAACTAATCCCTACAACATAAATGAACCACCACTTACACTGGAGATTTCATCATCTCTTCATGATACTGCTGGTAGACACTTGGTTGGCGGAGACGTTTTTATGGATAGTGGAAAATCTCAATTGAACAGAATAGTTGCATCCATGTTCAATAATCTGTAAGTTTACATCAGGAAAATTGTGCAAAAATTTTCCTGATGTACTTGTTTTACAATATGTTTTTTGTTATCTGTGAATTCATGACTTACATAAATTCTTTAACACATTACAGATATTATAATATTCTGGAAGTTGCCCCATCAAAGCTATCTGAGGAGGAACATTGTGATATGTTCATATATCCAATTACTCATTTGTTTCATCTAATGTTGCTTGCTGAAACTTCTTAGTGACTGTTGAAACTCTGTCAAAACTCTAATAAACAATTAGTATGTACCTTGTCAAAACTCTGAAGATTGACAAAACTCCCAAATGTGAAACCTTGCCGAAACTCTAACAAACAATTAATGTGTAACCTATTGAAACTCTGTCAATTGATTTCTGAAGGAGTTTCGCCCACAACCTTAGTTTCATCGACCTGAAAAAGAATATGAACTTGGATTAAATCATGTCACTGCAAGATCAAAAACAAGACCCAATCTTTTGTGCTTAGTGAATGGTGTGGCAATCTTAAACTCAGAGTTTAAGCCATTGGGTTTCACACCATTACAAGGAAAAAAGGATAGGTTGAAAGCTCAATTGAAAGGGAGAAAATCAATAAACCAACAATTAGAAAGAAAGGGAGGCCCAGGTGAAAGCGCTATATATTTAAACCTCAGTATGTATATGCTTTTGATAAATTACAAGTTTTATTATTATTTCTTATGATTATGTTTCTACAATAATCAGGTGATTTGATGGAATCCTTTATTATGGATCTAAAATTTGATGGTTTATACCATTCCTGGCTGTTTCTCAAAACAAAGGTGGTAGTTGACAAATCTGCAATTCTGTTAGCAGAATTCGTGATAAGCCATTTTGTTGCTTTGGAGGTATATGCCATGTTTTTTTTAAGCTTATAATGATACATTTTTGCTCACAAATTTCATTCTTTGTAATGGCAGGAATGCGTTCAAAGAATTGCAAAGAATTTCAAATATCAAAGTGATCAATTTACACCACCTACACAAATGTCTTATATTCACAAACTTCTGGATATGCCACAAGTAAAAATATTGCTTAAATAGGAACTGGTTGGGGTCTCTAATTAGACTGAAGAATTCGTGTGGTGGAATGGTTTTTAGAAAAGTTATATTGAAAATCAGATATTTTTATTATTATCTGTTATCACAAAAATATATTATTTAATTTATAATCACATATTATTTTTTTTTTTTTTTTTTGCTAAAGTGAGGCCTTGAAATCACGTTTATTTATTTAAAATTCAATGTATTATTAAAAA